CTTTAGTAGGTTGTGGAGTTACGTAAGACATCTCTTTCCAAACAAAGAGGAGGCAGGACACCCAGCCAAAGGGTTGAGCACAGGAGGCTGTGTGGTCTGGTGGTTCCAGGGAGAGACGTGGGGCCAGGGCTTCCTGGGTTCAGCTACCAGCCGAGACTCTGAGTCAGGGGGGAGCAGAGCCAAGTCTCTTGGCTTGAGGCAGATAGACTGTAAAACCAGGAGAGAGAAAACCGCAGGTCTGTGCTCAAGGACTCTAGGGGAAAAACACATTCTGGAAATTTAAAAAAAAAAAGAGAGAGAGAGAGAGAGAGATCACCCTGTTAAGTTACAATTTGGGACTTTTTCAACAAAAAATGAGCATCTTTCCTGCTGATTGGCTGACATGTCCTCCTCTGGGCAGCACTGTGAAGCCCAGCCAGTGTCTGAGGGTGTTCTGTGTAGAATGAATAGAGAAGCCCAGGGGTCTGAGCAAAGCCAGTCAACCTTGATGAGTTGTCACAAGGAATGCTTATGGAGCTGGGCCCTGGGAGCAAAGAGGTTCTGCATGAATTCTTCCCTTTCACTCATCCTGTCTTCCACAATAAAATGTCCTCTGAAATCATGGGAGGAAAAATCCTTTCCTGCCGGCTTCTTCTGGATACCTCCCTTCCACCAGTCTGAGCACAGAGTTGTTCAGATGTAACCAGCAACCTGTTTAGCCACAGATCCACACAGGTTTCCAAGCCATAGCCAGGGCTGGGGCTGATGGTCGATGTTCTCCAAGTCCCACGGGCTCTGAAAGTCTGATAATTCTGGTCAGACAGAGTGGGTGGCCACCTACATGATGAGTTTGAAGGATGACTGGGTGGGTCTCCACTCCTTGGCAGGGTGCCGCGCTTCTCTGGATCTGAAAGTTTTTCTGATTGTTAGAAATAGCCTGTTAAAATGAAAACCATATTTATGAAGAAATCTCTGTATTCAGCATTAGCACTTGAGTCAATAATATCTTAATAGAGTCCCATAGAAATGGGACAGGAAATGAAGGAGGGGCAGATTTTGCTGTGGAATAAGGTTGGGGGAGGACGTTTCTTATCTGGAGGAGCAGAGGGAGCCCAGGAGGGGACAGAGAGATGAATCAGGTGGAGGGAGCCTTTCTAATCGTTTCTCCCGGAGTGTCTGGAACAATGTTAAAATCTGGTTATGGGTGGGTGTGAGTTGCACCAGGAGCATTGCTTTTACTCTAATTCAAGCCAGGCCAAATGGAATCCAGGTTTTCACTTGTGGGCACCTTGTCCAGCCACCAAGTACACTCATGATGTCGCTCCTCCCTGCATTTGCCTGAGTGCACGTTCTCTGCCATTGGTTAAATAGCCATGCTCAATGTCCCAAGTCCTAAGCTTCCCCATATTAAAATGAAGCAGCGATCTCTTCTTTTGAAATTTTGTAACCATCCTTTTGTCACTTTGTTGCAATCTAGGGAAAAATTAATAAAAAAGTAAGTCTACTCTTGCCGGCAAAGGTATCTGAGGAAGGAACGTTATCTATTTTGTAAGAATACCTGAGTGAAAGAATGAAGACTAATCCACTGAGGTTAGTGACAGCTTTAATCGCATAATTTTCAGATTCTGCTTCCTCTGCTTATGATAATTCACTAGGGCTGGCGCACCACTTTCAGGCCCTCCCCGGGGTAACCAGTGCTCTCACAAACACGTGTCTAGGAAAATGTAGAGAGACCACTTGGGAGTGGATTTCACAAGATTACTCTCATCTTCTCTGGTCACAGTGCCACTGTCCCCTGTGGTCCTTGAGAGTCCTCCTTCTGCTCTCTACAATCACACCTGGCCAAGCGAGGATAACACATGAGAATTTCTGGGGGGAAAGGTCTCGGTAGGAAGTCAGACAAAGGAAACAAGGCACCCTGCCTAGAAAGAGGTGCCGTTCAAAGTCTCCAGATTTGGGGTCTCTAAAGCGCCCACTGACCTCTCCTTGTTCAGTTGCCTTATTGGGTGTCGTCTAAGTGTCCTTCACAATTCCTGGCAGCAAGGTGGGTCTCGGTCCCATTTGGGGCCCTGCCTTCCTCTCCAGCATGCTTTCCTGTGGGAGAGGAAGGACCAGCCCACGTCCCACAAAAGTGACTCCAGGCTTCCTCATCCCTCAGTCAGAGAGTCTTGTTAAACAGAAGACTTTACATCTCAGATAAAATCGGTGTTTTAGTATTACTGTTGCAGTATGTTTTAATAATATGTTATACTATATTCATGTAGACATGAATATATCTCCCCCATCCCTTTGATTAAAGGACCTGTCCAATGATACCCTCAAACAACAACAAAAAAACTTCCTTTAAGTACCCATGCTGTGGAAGGGATCAATAAACATATATAAATAAATGTTTGCTGGATATAATGAGTTGTTGTCTCTGAGCTGGCATCCCCATATATTGGTTTTATTTTCACTTACAATCTGAATTTTAAAAAATATAATATCTAATATTAGTCTTATACTTTACAAAGGCTAACTTATAAAATATATGAGTGTGCTAAGTGAAAAATAAAATAACATATCATGACCTATTAAGACAGATAGGCTCCATCAAGGGAAAAAGTCAATTAATGGCTGTTTAACTTCAATAACTAAATCTGCCACAAATTTGAAGGTTCGTGTTAATGTTTTCATATCCAGTTTGCAGAATGAAGCTCAATTTGGCATTTTCTGATTGTGCTCAAAGTAAACCTTGTATGATTCTTAAATCAGAATCAGTGGCCCGCAGGGTCAAGCATACCAAAGGTGCTTGATGGTTGCTTTTAAAATAAATGAGGAATTGTACATTATAACCTAATATATGGTGGACGGATAGTGTACAAAAGATTGGTTTCTAGAAGTTGGGGTACAATATGCTTCTATTACATTAAGTTAGAAGTTATACGAAACACAGGAGAAATATCTCCAGTTCTACTTCTTCCTGGGAGAAGAACTGAGAGAAGACAGTCACATTCAATTTGGGACATTCAAGGCACATCCAAATATGTAAAACAACAAAGGGATCCAACCAGTACATAATTTTGTGTGCTGTATGTCTATCTTCAAAAGTTGGTGCTATCTTATTTTAAAAGCAGGATTTCTGTTTGAGGCCCATTTCATGTTTCTGGTTTACAAAAAGGAAGTCATGGACAGCAAAGCAGAGCTCCTTTTCTACTTTGATGTGAGGACAGGAGCCTGCAGCAATGAGGAGACCAGTCCCAGGCTATGTGGAACTGGGCTAAGGTAGGAAGAAACCAAATGTGTATTAAGCACCATCTAGAAGCCAGTTGCTTTGGTAAGTGCTGCTTCATTTAACCTTCCCCATGATGTTGTGAGGTAGTTATATTTTTCTCCACTTTACGCATGAGGAAACTACAGATGGAATGCTTTGTCCAAAGTCACACAGCAGTAAGTGGCAGCCAGACTTGCAACTCAAGGCCCTACCACCTTAACACGAATGATAGAAAGTCCGGATCATTGAGAAGTGTTTGTTCATATCCTTTGTCCACTTTTTGATGGGGTTGTTTCTTTCTTGTAAATTATATGTTTAAGTTCCTTGTAGATTCTGGATATTAGCCCTTTGTCAGATGGATAGATTGAAAAATTTTCTCCCATTCTATAGGTTGCCCGTTCACTGTACTGATAGTTTCTTTTGCTGTGCAGATGCTTTTTAGTCTAATTAGATCTCATTTGTCAATTTATACGGCCAAAAAACATATGAAAAAAAGCTCATCATGCAAATCAAAACAACAATGAGAAACCATCTTACACCAGTTAGAATGGTGATCATTAAAAAGTCAGGAAACAACAGGTGCTGGAGAGGATGTGGAGAAATAGGAACGTGTTTACACTGTTGGTGGGAGTGTAAATTACTTCACCATTGTGGAAGGCAGTGTGTCAATTCCCCAAGGATCTAGAACCAGAAATATCATTTCACCCAGCAATCCCATTACTGGGTATATACCCAAAGGATTATAAATCATTCTACTACAAAGACACGTGCACACGTATGTTTATTGCAGCACTATTCACAATAGCAAAGACTTGGAACCAACCCAAACGCCCATCAATGACAGATTAGATAAAACGAACGTGGAACATATACACCATGGAATACTATGCAGCCATTAAAAAGGATGAGTTCATGTCCTTTGCAGGGACATGGATGTAGCTGGAAACCATCATTCTCAGCAAACTAACACAGGAACAGAAAACCAAACACTGCATGTTCTCGCTCATAAGTGGGAGTTGAACAATGAGAACACATGGACACAGGGAGGGGAACACACACCAGGGCCTGTTGGGGAGTGGGGGGCTAGGGGAGGGATAGCATCAGGAGAAACACCTAATGTAGATGACGGGTTGATGGGTGCAGCAAACCACCGTAGCATGTGTATACCTATATAACAAACCTGAACATTCTGCACATGTACCCCAGAACTTAAAGTATAATTTAAAAAAAAAAAGAAAAAGAAAAGAAAAAGAAAAGAAAGTTCAGAAAAGAGAGTGTGTCCTGGGCTTGTGTGTCCTGGGCTTTACTAAGAACATAAAAAGAACCACTGTATTTTACAGTAGAATCAACTATTTAAATTGCCTCGGAGTTGGTAAGAGGGAGTCCTTGGGTTCTGATCTGAAATGGAAATGGCTGTCTGTTTTCTTTATAATGAAATAGAGAATATGACTGAGTATATGTGCATCCCATTCTCCAGGACAAACTTTAGTTGCTATTGGTAGATATAAAGTAAGAATCAGCATTCCAGGTACATTTTACAAGACTTTTTCCAGCCAGACTCTCTTTGCCTTGGGAGCAATTACAACCTTGACTTCTAGGATGGATACAGAGTGGCAAAACAGAGACAGTCACTGGAACAAAGGAGTCACAATATAATATTAGTTTTTGTCTTTTCAAAAACAGATTTTTGAAATAAACACTAATGAGAGATTTTATGTGGACCAGTTCATTTGTAACGTAAGTTACTTTAAAGCACATCCAAACAGTGTTTTCAGAAATTATGAAAATTTTATTAATAAAGAAAATCAGCATTACACGTATCCCCTTTAAAAACAACCACCTCAAACATGTAGAAATGCTTTATTTCGTATTTGCTATTTGATCAATGTCAGAAAAATGAAACCACAACACCAAAGTACAGACCAGTATTTCTGAAGGGGATAATAATCATTTGAGATAATAAACTACTAGAAAATCAGAAGAAATGATTCAAGGTATTCATTTCAAAGGCTAAACCACTAATTCTCCATCCAAACAAATGTTTCCACTGTGAGTCAATACATTTGCCATCAGTTCTTTTTAATGCTATCCTGAATACACAATGTACACCTAAAAACATGATAGAGTGCTCTGAGAATAGTAAGAACTGATAGCCAACATGATTTACAGAAATTTACGGCTATGTAGCAATGGTTCAGAGACAATCTCTAGAAAACATGAAGGTACTCTTCATGATAGGAAGGATTGGTTTTGCAGGGCAGCTTTGAAGTTCATTTCTGATTATCTTTAAATAACCACTCTACCCTTGTTCCTTGATCTCACCCTTTGCTAAAATTTTATAAATATATTCCAGACACACTGCATGCAAAAAGGGAAGTACAAGAATATTAAGATTCTCATGCCCTGGACATGAAGAGAAAACATGTATATAATGTGTTCTCACTGTCAGAACAACCCATTGAAGTGTAAAGCTGGAAACCCCACAGTAGAGAGAGACACACTTTTAATCCAAAGGAAAAAAAAAAAGTGAGGCCTGTTACTTGACTACAGTTTCCAGGGCTCTGGTGTAGCTATATTTTAGGCATAGCTCCAAGGAGCAGCCTACACAAATTTGGATGGAGCGAGGGAGGCACAGATGGTGGTCACGTGAAGGCACAGACCGATCGAGTGGGCTCGGCTACAAAGTCTGTACATTTAGGCTGCTGTATTCCTCCTATTTCAAGTACTGCCAAGTCCCGGCTCTTCCCCGTCTTTCCAAAGTCTTGATTCATTTAATTCTCCTGAAGGAGGTGGAAGAGGAGGAGGGTTGCGCAAATCTTACTCTTTCATGGTTTAGAGGAGACAGTCACCATCTTGGCGCCTTGTCAGATTTTAAATGTAACATTTTGCTAAGTGTAAAGCTGTGTATCTGTTCCTTTTCTGTTGCCATTATTGTAACTTCAATATTTGCAAAACACAACATCAAAATACTTCAAATCTAGCCCAAAGCAGTTATTCAGGCAACACAATTCTTACACTTATCAATATACAGCGAGCTCATAGCAAAGAAATCTTTTCTTTCTTTCTTTTCTGTTTAGTTCTTTCTATTCACTTATGACTTTTTTTTCTCTTTGGGACGTAAGAATGATTTAATCATACCACAGTAATATCCCCATTTTATATATGTATAGTATACATATACTATTATATGGTTATACTATTATAGTGCTTATTACAATGTCAGCTCTTACAGGTTGCATTATTTAGAAAAAGGAAGCACAGAAGCTAAAATGATTCTACCATTTGAAATACCCTGTGAATCACTGGTAAAGCCTAGAGCACCTTAAGGATATACAGAGTCTTAATTTTTAAATATAAAAACTTGCAGTGTTCACTATAAAATGTTGTTCCTAAAGAAATTCAGGATGCGCTTTCCGTGGTGCCTAATTCACGGTTACTAGCATTAAAGTGCTACTTTCTTACTCTTTAAAGATTCTCAGTTATTTTCTTCTTTGTGTAGGAAACTCTATCAAAAATCAAAACGGATTCAGTTACTGGCTTTTTTTTGTTTGTTTGTTTAAACAGGGCACAAGGTATTTTACAGGTCCTCATCATTCTTCTTGGTATTCTGTTGGTGTAACTTTTGTGTGTGATCAGTTCTGCTCCGGAGACTTGTCCACTAAGCTCTCCAATGTGTCTTTTTGGCTGGAGCTAATGTGTAGGAAGGCCATTTTTAAAGCAAATCAAAACATTCACAGGTTTAACATCTGTTAATCGGGTGTTTTATCTAGAGGACATAAAAGATATTTACAATCCTCTAGCTTACTGACTTAACACTTTCCTTTATACTGGATATTTATATTGTGTAGAAATGGACATTGTTATCACAATCCATGGAATTATTCCACTTTCTTCTAAAACAAACAAGAAAATGTTTTCCTTTTAGGTTAGAATTTCTTGATTAGTAAAGTATATCAATAGGCAATGCAGAGAGGCGAATTGAACTCAATTATTATCTTAATTTCTGCTTTCAACAAAGCATACTGATAAAGAAAGTTCTTGATACTATTTATGTTTCATGAATTTCCATTTTTAGCTCTTTCCTTAAAATATGGATAGTTCAGAATTTAAAAATAACAATAGTCACAGAGGGAAGTCTCCCCACCTTGGGGCATTTGTAATTTAAACCACAGTCACTTAACAACAAAACAACTAAAACTACCCTCCAATTCAAGGCCATATTGCTCAAATAAGAACTTCAGAATATTATTTTGATTTTGTAGGTTGACTAAGCATACGAATTAATAATAGGATTATGTATCAAATACAGTTTCATGAATGGAACACATCAGCATTACCCAATCTTCCTCAGACATAGGTTGGTTGCCAAGAGAGATACTTTTCAACATATCACAAATGTGCTATTTGTATAAACACTTCCCACTACGAATGCTCTTGTTTTTGTTTAAATGAGTGTTTTTAACCCGAGCTATTAATCACATTTTTTTTTTCCTTGTGGTGCTTGGCTTTCAGAAGAGAGAATCTTCAGCCCTCTGCTCTTGTGAGAGTAATTTCTCTTAACACCGACAGTGTAGCGTAAGTACAGCCAGAGCTCATTAAATAGACTTCTGAGCATAATTATAATTAACAATTAGCTAGAAATTAGTTTTAATGATTTGTTTTAGATGATAGAATAGAAGCATAATGTAATTATTTTTAAACCTTCTACATCATTAAGAATACAACTACCACCACCTTTCAATTATTGAGAGGCAATCATCTAAAGCATTTAGCAAGTGATCTACTTACAGAGCCAAGCTAAGGGAGCTGAAGAGAAGGGCCGCCGCCCCAACCCAGGTGTTTATAATTATCTAGCCTTTTGCAAAGCCTCTTCTGTTTCTATTCTGCTCTTTAAGCTATTTCATGCCTTGAAGACGTCTCTACCAGGGAAAATAAAGAGACTCAGCTCTTCCCCCACCTCCTGCCTGTCTCCAAGACAGTGTGGCGCTGATGACTAGAGGTGGGAAGGACCAGAGGAAGATGCCACAAAATTTAGCAACTGGGCCTGAAATTCACCATTCACACCATCAAACTGGACTAACAGGAAAGAAGATTATGTAAGTAATGGATAAAATGAGTAATATGAATTAACGCCAGACTGTAAAGATAGAGCTATGCCATTCTTTCCTTGTTCAGTGTTCTGTTAACTTTTAATATTCCAAAATCAGTTTGGATTTTGCTTTCTCTTGAAGAATGTTAAAGAAAAATACAATAGAAACCTGAAGAAATGCTATTTTATAAAAATATAAAAATATTCATTTAGAAGAGTGACTATTATTTGTTGTCAATGTTTTTTCCTTTCTTTGTTTAAAAATTTGTTTTTGTTTAACCTTGTCTACTCCATGTGCTATTTTTCTCTCGCAGCTTTGAGCAAGAATGTCAGATCTTTTGCTGGGGACCCTCGGAAGCCGTGAGGGAGCGCATCCTGACACCCACATAGAAGACCTGGTACCTATGTTTCCACATCACAAAGCAGGCCAACAAGCACACAAGGCCGCAGACCAAATTAAGAATCATCTGGATGAGTAAGAACAGTTTGAAAGTGCCAGTGACGCTGGTACAGTCCGTCACATCCCGGTAAACAAAGGTCCTGCTGAGCGGCTCCGAGGAGGGCAGTTTGCACTGGCAAGAGTCGAGTGTGGTCTCACAGGTAAACTGTGTGAGCTGCGAATAGTGGTGGGCAGCAAAGGCCACGGCCAGCACACAGACCGTCAGGCCCAGGGCACTCAGCAGAAAGTATAACAGCTGCAAGAAAGCAGAAGAAAGCCTTTCTGGTTACAAAGAACATTGGATGATGATTTGCAAAGCTAATTCATCAAAACTATTCTTTTTCTTCTCTCCCAGAAATTTGCTGATGGAAAGGCTGTCTCTTCTTAGAAACACAGCACCTAAGACACGGAAATAGTTCCATGTTTATTTATTAGCAGGTAGTTCTTAAACCCTGATCACATTTTCACTTGCCATCCAGATGTTGGGCCCTTTTCAAGAGTTATGACAACCATATTAGCTGTATTGTGGGATGTTTTTGTCTAGATATTGCCACAGTTTAGATGAATCCCAAACAAGCTAGCCATCCCTGGATGACATGTTGTGCTTATTTTGAACTCAGGAACTTCTGATATTAAGGCTGAAACAAGACTAGGAAGTAAAGAACAGGCTTCTGTAATACAAACACTGTGTGGGCCAAAATTAGCAATGATGGGTCAACTAATAGAATAGGTTCATTTTTTAAAAGACTATATTCAATGTAGTGATTGCCAAACTGTATCCATAAACATGAGAATCCCCAGCAAGAGGTTGCTGGGAGAAAACAAATTATGGCTCCAGAAGTCAAGTAACTTGATGTCAGCTTCACTGCCTGTGAAACGTACCCCAAGCCCAACAATGACCATGTGATTCCTGAGCATGAAAATCCACTTCTAAATGGTTCCGCAGTCACCAAGGTTTTGAACTCTGTTGGCCTCCAGGTTAACTTTTGGATTGAAAAAGTCTGGTTAAAGTTCTCACTCTGCTGCTAAAGGGCTGTGAGAACTCTGAATAATTTAGAGGTTTAGCTTGCACCTGAAACATTCTGAGCAAAACTTGTGGGTGTTCACTGACATGGCCACAATAAAATCTATGGAACAAGAAATATTTTTGTGATTGAACTCACCTGCTAGAAATGTTGCTCTTAATGGTCCACCTGCTGAGATTCTAGGTAAGGCTCAGAGTCCCCAGTTTTTGAGACTAGCATACATAGTTCTTAGTGCAAGAATTATATTACCACAGTCAAAATTTGCTCTCCACAGAGAACAATTCTGGTGAATGGCCTCTTCACAAAGTAATATTAGTTCCAGCCATTTCCAGGTTCAGATGAAAGTAGCTCTGAAAAGATGATGCCCTTCCCCCACCTTCCCTTATATATAATTCAAAATTAAAACATACATGTGACACTGTAAAATATGTGTACAAAAGTCCTCCAAATGAGTGTTTTCCACACAGTGATGATTTCAAGTGTTTTCAAGTCTTAAATTTGGAATTCTGTATTTACATTTTTACTTCTTCTCTTTCTTGAGTGGTATGTGTGCATGTATGTGTGAGTGTGGGTGCACATACTGGTTGCTGGTGCCCTAAGCTTATGTCTGGTTTGCCTGTAAGGGAATCCATCAGGGATTACATACAGCTTGACTGTATACCTAAGGTCACTGGAAGAGAGTAGAATTAGTTAAAGCCATTTATTTTCTTAATACATCTTAATTAGTATCGTGGATTCTTTAGATCTTTTCATCAAAGAGATCTTAAACACACATTCTTTTTCCTTTTCAAATCATTTAAAGGATTGTCAGATGTAACCTAAGTATCTTCATCTGTGAAACAGTTTATAGAAACATCTTATATCTCAGGGACATAACAAGGATTATACTCAATATTAGTGTTCCTTGGAGGAAGAGAACCAGATAAATACAAAGTGGCACCATCATAAAACTTTTTTTTTTTTTAAGAGATGGAGTCTTGCTATGTTGCCCAGGCTGGTCTCAAACTCCAAGCCTCAAGTGATCCTCCCACCTCAGCCTCCCAAAGTATTGAGATTAGAGCTGTGAACCACTTCGTCTGGACCTCAATATTTTCAGTGACTATACTTTATGCAAAAATTGGAATTTTTAGCCTAAAAATATGGATTTATTTTGTAGGACCAATGGAGCAGAATATTTGAACAATTCTGGGTTCTGAAATATTCAGGCTTGATTACTGACTTCAAACTCTTGGTGCCAAGAGCCAAATTAAACTGTCTTGACCACGCTCTGTGTGTGTGTGTGTGTGTGTGTGTGTGTGTGTATGTGTGTACCCATTGTAGCTGTGTTCCCAGTACAGCCAGCAGAGAACTGGGAACAGTTTGCTCTGGGAACAATGGTATATCTGTGACTTTACTAGCAGGGAAGGCCCAGGTTAAAGTGATCATTTCCCACCTAGTAGTCATCTGCTTAGTAGAATGGCCCCAAATGGAGTTTTCTCTACTTGTTTTATCGCCATCAGTGGATGGAAGTGGGGGGTAGGGTTCTTGTGATAACCTTCCTACCTCTAACATACATACATCCTTAGATAGCAATTTCTTCTCCTTCTTCCTCTTCTTCTTCTTCTTCTTCTTCTTCTTCTTCTTCTTCTTCTTCTTCTTCTTCTTCTTCCTCTTCCTCTTCCTCTTCTTCTTCTTTGAGACAGAGTACAGTGGCTTGATTTCAGCTCACTGCAACTTCTGCCTCCTGGGTTCAAGCAATTCTCGTGCCTCAGCCTCCTGAGTAACTGGGACTACAGGTGCGTGCCACCGCACCCAACTAATTTTTGTATTTTTTTGGTAGAGACAGGGTTTCACCATGTTGCCCAGGCTGGTCTCGAACTCCTGACCTCAAGTGATCCTCCTGACTCAGCCTCCCAAAGTGCTGAGATTACAGGTGTGAGCCACTGCATCCAGCTCCTTAGATAGCAATTTTCTGTAACATTTGTTGGGGCAATATCTTGAAGCAATGACAATAATCCCTCATTCTCAATCTGCAAATAATTTAAATAGTTGAAAAATATTTTATTCATGATAGTCACAAAAATCCATTTGCTGAAAATGGGAATTTTGTCTATTTTAAAAGATGAGTTTTTGGCTCAGAGATTAAAAGACGTGCCCAAGACCATTTAACACGTGTGCAGCAGTACTGGCTGATGATTAACAGCCTGAACCAGGGAGTCAGGTTGCCTGGGTCGGTATCCTGGTTCTCCCCTCACTAGCCATGGTCCTTGGGCAAATTCATCAATCCCTGTGCACCTGTATTTCTTCATCTGTAAACCTGGCATGATCATAATAGCGCCTACTTCACAGGATAATTACAAGGATCAAAAGAGTTGATGTCTGTAAAGAGCTTAGAACGGCGTCTGGTATACAGGAGCACTATTTAAGTATTTGTGAAATAATAAGCAAATTAGTAGGGATGGAAAGAGCTGCCAGTTCTCAGGACTGAGGATATTAATTCGACTGCCTTTGTCTTATTTTGTCATGTGGGAGTAACAACGCATTCTTGGCTTGTAGGAAGGATGTAAACATTTACACAAACACAGTGGTTGCTCAATTTTAATTGAACCGTTTATGCTAGAACCCAAGGAGAACACAAAGAAAAACCATGCCCCTTAGCTTCCCTGAGTATGAATAAATTTACATCGTGCGTATCTATCTCACACATAATGACTCGGCTTCTCCCAGTCGGGAAAGCATCAGGCCAAGTAAACTAGAAGCCACGGAATCAAGTTTCTTATCCATTTTAAGACATAAATACATACTCGATCCCCCCTAAAGCCTGCGGGCTGCATCTGCAGCGCTGTGGCATTCTTCCTTCGTGGCTTTTAACTCATCTGACAGCAACAAGCTTCTGGGTTAGAATCTGTAATTTAAAATCAAGTGGCTTGTTTTACCTACACGACACGAATAAACTATAAGGAAGAGTGTTTACGATGACCTTGGGAATCCGAGCAAATACATCTTGATAAAAGCCCGGCGCCCGAGGCATCTGTCTTGCGGGTGTCAGCCCATCAGCCTGGCGCGGCGCAGCGGGCGGAGGCGCGGTGGCCCCGGGCGCTTATGTAACAGCAGCGCCCGGGCGCGTCTCCGCTCGCTCGCTGCCTTTAATTGGTACCCGGCCTGCAGCTTTCACGTTCGGTGACCTCGGGAGGAGGGTGTTTCTGCTCCAATTTAATTACCTTTCCCGGTGGCCTGAACGGGAAGGGTCCCTCTGCAGCGCACCGCTTGGGAGGAGGCTGCCGCAGCAGCTCAGGGCCTCCTGGATGTGGACAGGAGGGAACGTGCCCCGGAATGTTTCCGCAGGCACATGCCCCCGACACGTTTCGGAACCTCCAGGGGAGCCCTGAGAAAGTCAGGCCACTGGGAAAGGCAGGAAGCGTGACCTGCGGCCGATGCCCAGCCAAGACCAGAGGCAGAGCCCAGGGAGGAAGAAGGAAAGCGCTGGTGGCATCGAGGGCCTGCGAAAGGACCCCACCCCCAATTCCCGACCCCCCAGAGGACTGTCTCAGCTTGAGAAAAAAAAAAAAGAGCCCGTGACTATTGTCTGTAAGAGAAAGGGAGGGTGCGTGTGTGTGCACACGTGCTGACTACAATGAGACTGTCATCATGGCCTGTTTGCTTGTCCTGGCTATCTGTGCACTCAACAGGAGGAAATATATCCTCAAACAAAGCTTAGGCCAGGGTCCAGAGATGGGGGCACCAAAACGCGGCTATGCGGATGAGAAACGCCCTATGAAGATGCATGTTATGCCTCCGTCCCCCCAGTAGTGTGAGAAGCATAAGGGAAGTCAGCTGTCCCCTGTTGTGTCATTGGAAAATCTGGAGATGGGCTGAAGCTCACTTTCAAACTGAAGATAATGTAGCATGCAACCTTAGAGAGCTAGCAGCAAGCATCAAGAAAGGTCATGTTCAGGAGAAGAGAAAAGTGCCTCAGTATTTGTCAATGCCTGTCACGGGTGGAAAAAAGAGGCAGCTAATAGATCTTCCTAGTGGGGAATCCTCAACCTGGCTGACATTGGCAGTGATTTTTTTTTTCTATTTTTTTTTCTCTTACTCCCTATTTTAACTAAGGTGCAGATGTTGAGATGGTATTGGGGCCTCTCTCAAGCTGATGCTTTTGCCTCTGCTGTTTTCTGGGATCATCTCGGGGGAAAATGAAGGCATTTCACATAAACTAATAAAAACCTAGTTTGAGGTGTTCTTCAGCCACTGGATGAAGTTCTTGTAATTTAACAGGCCATTTCTTACTAAGCTTTCTGGCTTCATTTTTTTTTTATTTTTTTAAATCACCAAGCCTTGCTGTTTAGTCAAACCTCTACAAAAAAATAGTAAACATAGACTGATGTCTACGCTATCTGGCCTTCTTTCAAGGAAAGTCCTCAGACAGAAAAGTATAATTTCCAAATGAAGGCATATCCACCAAAATTCTAACTTCATCATTTAAAAAAGTAGTATCTATTAATTTTTTACCTAGAAAAGTTACAACTATTGGAGAACATTTCAAAATTAGAGAAAAACTGAAAAATGCACATACAATCCCACCACTGATAGATAATTGTATTTTCTATGCTCATTAAGAGCTTTTATTTTTTCTGTAAGATAATGTCATATATTTTGTGTAATCAGCTTTTAAAAATTAGTTATTATAATGTAAACTTTTGTATTCTATTACTTTTTATAGCATGATTTTAAAAGATATCATCCCATTGCTTTTTTATGTCAACAGCTTCAATTATACTGGAATCTTCCAACACATCTTATTTTTTTCACCTTAGTCACTTCCAAATAATGTCATTCACTTACTTTTATGTCTGATGTTTTCTCATTGTAGTGAACAAAAAAATCCAGTTTTTATACGTTTTCTTGTAGAAGAAAAAACAAGTCAGTGGACAAAATTTAAAAAAAAAAAAGATTAAAGAAAGCTTTGTATTCTTTGCTACAGTGGTTGAGAGAAAATGTAGGAATTTGCTTTCTACTAGCTCTGATTGCTAAGTTCTGTGTCTATGTCCTCATACTCTGAAAGCGAATGTCTTTGCTTCCCTTTGGGGTAGATTCTGTTGTGCAGTGAAAGTGCTGTGTACTTGAATTGGCTCCAGCCAAATGCACTGTCCCTAACAGAAAAAAGATACACACAAATGAAAGACACACATGCTTGCCAAACCACGCATATCCCATCGCCCGTCCCCCACTTTGCCCTGAGAGTCTTGGCACAGAGCATTTGGATGCACCCAATGTACTTTTTCTGTCCCAGTGATCCCACCTACAAGAGGAAATACACTTAGATTGCTTCATTATTAAAATATCCCAAATAACCCCCGAGATATGGAAGTGGGCACTGAAAGAGACACTTTTTTCTGGCCAAGTGTTTTGTTGAACTGATGAATTTTCAATATTCCTTTTAAGGGCATTGAAGGACAGACTTCATATCCTCCAGGCCAACCCAGTTCATGGAAATTAAGACTTAAAAAACAAAATCAGCATTACCTTTGAGGTCTGGATCAATGCCCTCTTAAAACATTTTTTGGCGTGCCTAAAAATGCAATTTCTAGACTAATCAGATATGCAACCCCTTCAGAAGGCACTCCCTTATTTTGTACTTGGGTTTCTTTCTATGTGATGATAAAAGAGAAAGAACAATCACAACTTACTTTCATAGAAAATTGAATACATGTCCGTTCGTCAACCTGATATGAGACACAAAGCATAAACAAGCCAAGATAGGCCACTAAGCAGACCTGCAATGGAGAACACAGAAGAAAGGATGTTATCAGGGCACGTTGTGCGTTCAAATGACATCAGTCTCAGCGTCTTGCCCCAGTCACATCCATATTATAAAGCTGTTCATTTCATTTACTTATCTTTATGTACTGTGTTTTTCTTTCAACTGTTGGAAAACCACTTTCAAATTAGTAAAATCAATTGATTTCCACTTAGCCAGCATTTACTAAGTTCTTTTGATATGCCAGGTACTATATAAAATCCTTCAGAGTATGTGATGAGGAATAAAGTTTACTCAGTGTTCATCAGTTTACAATCCAGTGAAAGCCAAAATAAATGCACACCATATTCTAAGGCAGGACATTTCACGTTAAATATTATTCAAAGAAGTACAAAAAGAGGAAGAAATTACATTGAGTTGGGCGATATAAAAGGCTTCCATTAAGACATGGATTTGAAATGGTCCTTGAAAGAAATGAAACATGATTACTAACATTAGCTGAATATTTACTACATGCTGGGGCTCTTCTAAGGGCTTTGTATTGTATTCCTCCTATAATTGCTTTATATTGTATGCCCTCCTGTAATTGCTACAAAATCCTATAAGGTAGGTGATACTATGATCCTCATATTGTAAGTGAGAAAGAAAAGGCACAAAGCCTTTTCTTTGGAACCAGGATTCAAATCAGGTAGCTTGGGATAAAGCAGCACCATAAGCAATAGCACAGAGGAAGAGCCGCACAGAGAATGTGTTGAAAGAACAGCAAATGCACACCCATAGTTTAAAATAACGACATATAGGCTGGGTGCGGTGCCTCACGCCTGTCATCCCAGCACTTTGGGAGGCTGAGGCGGGTGGATCACCTGAGCTCAGGAGTTTGAGACCAGCCTGGCCAACATGGTGAAACCCTGTCTCTACTGAAAATACAAAAATTAGCCGGGCGTGGTGGTGCACACCTGTAATCCCAGGTACTGGGGAGACTGAGGCAGAAGAATCGCTTGAACCTGGGAAGCAGAGATTGCAGTGAGCTGAGACTGTACCATTGCACACCAGTCTGGGCAACAAGAGTGAAACTCCATCTCAAAAACAAACAAACAAAAAAAAAATATAGAGCACAAAGGGTAGGATGAAAATCTGGGGACACAGGATTGATTTAGTATGTAGTGGCACTCCCTTGAAAATTTCTGAGAAGAGAATGACATGATTTGAGAGACACATTTCAGGAAAATTAGCAGTGATGTTGGGTGGGTCGGCAGTGAGAACATCAGGGTATTATTTTACTAACCTGAGCAAGATCAACATATCAGGTGAACCAGAGCTCAGATAGTAGCATGCAAATTCAGAAAAAGAGATGGAGATGACAGACACAGTAAAAACTGAATCTATACATCTTGGCTATTGCATAACTGATGGGAGGACCTGGAGAGGGAGAAACCGGAAGTGACCTCCACGCTTTGGAGCATCAGTGACAAAAAGACGGTGGACGTGCCTACTGAAAGAAGGCTGGCCAGAGAAACAGCAGCTTTGAGGGAAAATACACTCAATCTGTTCGTTAAACTGCATTTTCTTTTTCATGAACTAGACTTTTTAGAACTAGGATTTAGAGTTTCTAATCAAAGCATATCTATTCACATTGAATTTTGGAAAGCTTAAAACATTGATAAATTTCCACACTTTTAAAATAGAAAATATAAGCAACAGAATTGCATTTCCTGATAAGCACAATTATCCTAGAGACAGATGTTGAAAGAGTGGCTGAGAGTCACCTAGCAAGTCATTAAACAACTGGTTTGCACATACTCATACTTCCTACCCCAGGGTCAGCTTCAAACCATAGGCAGTCTCTGTTAGGGTGGAGAAATCATTTGCAAAGCCAACATGGCATTTTCAGGTAAAACTTCTATCCTCTTCTCCCTTTGGTTACACAATCAATAAGCTACCTATGCCCTCATCCATTGCCAAGTTGTAGGTTGTTCAGATTTCTATTGGACCATGAAGTCAAAAGCCAAGCCTTCTCTTACTACAGACTGTTTCCAGGGTTTTCCATCATTGAATGGAAATGGTTGCTTGGTTTAATAGCAGGATATAATATTTGCAGTGGAGAGACACAGCATTAAAACATGTGAGCACAGCATGGACTGGAGAGATCTGGAGAGAAAACAAAACAGATAGGACCCAGGGAGGCAGCTTTTCAGCAGAAGACTTGCAGATACAAAAGTAAAGATACTGAAGTTATTCGTATAGCCCCTAACATGGCATTTTCAAGTCAGGATGAAGCTCTTTTGTAAAGTTTATTTGTAAAAAATACTAAATTGAAGGATAAGTTTGATAAGAACTGTAGGGGTTTACTATTTATTCTCACATTAAGAATTTACAAAACTTGAAACAAAGAAAGACCTACTTTTTGTTTATTGGTGACACACCAGATTGAGGGTTGTAATCCTGCTTATATCCCTAGACACATGCCTGTGAGTTTCTGTCTGCAGGTGCAAAGGGTCAGGCTCTCCCACATAACTGCCTTCTTCCCTAGAGACTACCAGCTGAAGTTGGCAATCGCCAAGACTTTCCTCTTTGTCTTCATAAGAGACACATTCCAGTAATAAGTCCTAACTAGCACCTTAAAAATCTGATTCAGTGCCTCTACTTGAACAAAATTTCTGATTTCAGCAGTAGCTACTTCTTTGTAGCCTTCATTTACCCTGGCTTCCAGAAAGAAGTTGCATAGGAACACATGACCTCATTCTAGAGCATTTCACTTATTCAAGTCACAGAATTTTATGGAGGACATACAATAAGCAGGCCCTGTGTTATTGTATGATCCTGGGAAATGAGAGATGGAAAAACAGGCCCTAACACCAAGGATTATCCAGCATCTAAGGATCTCCCAGTCCAGTGAGAAAAGAGAGGATAATGCAGTTGGGCTATTGTAAAAGTACTAGGACTACATCTGCTACAGGAATACCCAGAAGGAATAACTACCCCGATGGAAACTTGGGGAGACTTCCTGGAGAAAGATGAGTTTTGAGGATATGCAGAAAGTGGCTAGGAGAGTGTGAGGAAAGGTATTCTGTGCAGAGAGTAATAGAGGTGCAAAGGCACGAAGAAAGGCAGAGTAAACATTTGAGGATTCCTCTAGGTCCAGTGCAGAGAAAAAAATAAAAGGCAAAAGACGTGTTTCCAGCAATGGACAGGAAGTAGATCACAAAGGACTTTGATTTCAACTAGGACATTTTCTTTTTTTCTTTTTTTCTTTTTTTTTATTTTTTATTTTTTTTATTTTTTATTAATGTTATACTTTAAGTTCTAGGGTACATGTGCATAACGTGCAGGTTTGTAACATATGTATACTTGTGCCATGTTGCTGTGCTGTACCCATCAACTCGTCAGCACCCATCAACTCGTCATTTACATCAGGTATAACTCCCAATGCAATCCCTCCTCCCTCCCCCCTCCCCATGATAGGCCCCGGTGTGTGATGTTCCCCTTCCCGAGTCCAAGTGATCTCATTGTTCAGTTCCCACCTATGAGTGAGAACATGCGGTGTTTGGTTTTCTGTTCTTGTGATAGTTTGCTAAGAATGATGGTTTCCAGCTGCATCCATGTCCCTACAAAGGACACAAACTCATCCTTTTTTATGGCTGCATAGTATTCCATGGTGTATATGTGCCACATTTTCTTAATCCAGTCCTACAGAATGGGAGAAAATTTTTGCAATCTACTCATCTGACAAAGGGCTAATATCCAGAACCTACAAAGAACTCAAACAAATTTACAAGAAAAAAACAAACAACCCCATCAAAAAGTGGGCAAAGGATATGAACAGACATTTCTCAACTAGGACATTTTCAGCAGCAGAAGGGCGTGACTGACTTTGCCTTTTAGAATGGTCCTTCTGGCTATGAAGAATGGATTGCATGGGGGCAATTCTTGGGAAGAGAAGACCACCTAGAGGCCATTCTTCACCTGAGAAATGATGAGTGTCTGAGCTCAGGTAGAAGTAGTGATAGGGAGTGGGTGTGTTTGAATGACAGTAAAAAAACTGAATCCACAGGTTCTAAAGACTGATTAAGGTAAAGATGTAAGAGCTGAGGAGAGGGAGAGGTCAGGAAGGTGCTGCCAGGTGGGTGGTGTGGACATTTAATGAGATAAGATAGAAAAGGAGGGGCAGAATGGGAGTGGGAATGATGATCCCACATGGACACAAAGTGCAGCCATATGGGCTTAGAGCTCAGGAACGAGACCTGGGTTGGAGACAAGGATTTGTTAGTCATCACCATATGTGAAGCAATTGACACCACAGGAAACAGTGGCCCATCCAGAGAGAGTCTGAAAACAGAAAAGGGTCCAGTTAGTTACCCAGTTAAGAAGAATCTTTGAATTTTTTGAACAGAAAGCATCTCAGGTATATTTCTTATCATTGTAGCTCTATGTCATGTCATATCTAAAAATTACGAAATGGATTGTCCTTTTAGATTTGTCCTTTTAGATTTTTGAAAGCTTCAATTTAGGTTCTTGTACAGGGTATTTGCTATAAAGCTTAAATGTGTTGAACATATTTTAATTTCTTGGCCTTCTGATAGGGCTTGATATGGTCTAAGGTGAGAGGGGACTTTCATTTTGTTTACCTACAGCTTTGCATGTTATAACAAGACTTCTTTATCAGAGAGTTTATTGATGTTCAGTGTAAGCATGTTTTAGAAGGGTAGGCTTTACTGATACTGAACTAAAGGTTTTCTGGCCATGGAGAGAAAACCAGATTTCTCATGCTAGACTAAGGGTTTTGTTTCCTGAGCTGGCAGGATGTGGACGTGCCAGGAAGACACGGCATTCTGGCTTCTCAGCAAGGAAGGGGGAGCTCATGTTAGTGGGCAGTGAGACCCGCCAGGCCTATCTGGAACGACATTCCTAGAGTCCAGGCCAGAGCTCCCATTAGATATGCTGAGGTGAAGCCCACGGCACAGGAAGAAGGCAGTTATGTAAGGATTTCAAGAAGGCGCTTGTTGGACCAGACACCCA